TAAAATGATACAAGTTGTATATGTATGTTCTCTGGTTCATTGTAAGCAATACCTCAATTGATACTTAGTGAGTGAATTATGACCTAGGTACGTGCATATGCAATTTTGGTGTCGTACAATATTACTGTTGTATTATAGTTTTTGTAAATGTTAATTATATTTTCCTGATGTTTCTTTTCGTTGAAAAATATTGTTGAGTATTTTGGACAAGATAAAAATACAGTAACAACAAAAACTTTGATGTAAGTATTGATATACCGATAGTAAACAACAAGAGAGTTTCAACATTACTTTTTAGGGTTACCAAAAGTCCAGGATTATCCTACATAATCCTGGACTTATAATTAGCATCAGAGTTGCATTTGGTGTGTAAAGAATAAGGGATTTTTTAATGAGCTGTTTACAATAATTTAAAGAAAAATATTGATAGATTAAAATATATCAATTTTGATATTAAAATTTGTTTTTTATGGAATATCCTGCATTATCTTTTCTAAAATATGGTAACCCTATTATTATTTTATATCATTTAAATCCTTGTGACCACAAAGGAACCTTTTTTTTTTTGTTTCTCATACTTTTTCTACTCCAATATTTTTATAGGAGAGATTTAGTTAAAATTTATGTCTAGTTCTTTGTGTATTGTATGTAATATTTCATGAATGACTTTAACCAGGATTTTCAAAATACACAATACTAATATTTTAATAATTGTATTTGGTATGTCACTAAATAATATGTAAGAATCGAGAGATGGATTCTTGATGTGTTTAATACTTTGTGGGGCAGCTGGGAACTGTGATGGGAGAAGTTATTCCGGGACCACTACTACCACTGCACACACGCGTCGCCTTGCCAGGTTTGGTCGGGAGACATTTGTAAAGACTAATTGGTAAACAAACTTACATTGCTTAATGTATTGTACTGTATGTTCAACTGATAAATGTATTTATTTGAAAGGCTTATCATCTATGCAGATTAGTGTATCAAATGCAATACTATCTGTCATAGATTTATAAAAATGTTCCCAGTATCAGCTGCCTTTATGATATTAGCATAAAAACTTTCCAGTAATTATAGAATGCATTCTTTTACCAGTATATTATTTGTTTAAAATATATTTACATAGGAATGAATACAACTCTTGTTACATTCACTTTATAATGGATACATTTTCAATTTTATGTTTAAATTATTTATTACTGCTTGATTGTCATCGATGTGACAATTAGCTTGAAATAATCGACTTGTATGTGCGTGCGTGTGCGTGTATGTGTGTAACATGTTCAAATATATGTACATTTATTGGTTGTATTATGTTCACTGAATCTCAATTTAATGAAGCTTATCAAAACAGTTTTGTAGCCTTTCATTGCAACGTTGTTTACTATTGAGTAGATGAGGTCCTGGCTCACAATAATTGTTAGAAAGCAAATTTATATTAAGTTGGATCAGATACAATATGGTGATACCAACATATATTTGCTAAGTGTGCATTATGCATTCGGATATAATAATTGATATATTCGTTAAGATATAAGAAAATATTTCAAAAGTCATCCCTTCTGACAAAAATACTATATTTATATAAAATTTTTACATTTATCCCGTGGCAATAAATTAACGTTCTTATGACTAAATTCCATTTCGTTGAAAATATAAAACCTTTAATATCCTTTAAGGGTAAAATGTGTGGATACAATTCAATTTTTATACTTGAATGTATTTTGCACTAATCTCATAGACAGTTACATTTGTACAGCAGCTATTTGGACATAGAATTTAATTATTTATTCAACAAACTGATTTTGCTGGCATAAACAAACGATTTTTCCTTAACCCACCAGCGGGCGCGCCTCTTTCTATAAATGGTGGGGTAATTTCAAAGCATTGCATCATTAAATAATCATTATAGACAGTATGTCCAGGATTCAAATATTTGTTCTATGTTTTATAAGGGTAATACAATGAAGAATTATGTAATTATCGTATTATGCATTGACAATTTCGGTACGCACAACCCTGGGGCCACGGGTCTGCTCAAACTCGGGCTTTCCCTATTATGGTGCAATTGCCTCGCGCCCTGACACCATTTATGATTTTATGGTTCTTTTGAACGTAAAAAGTGAATTCCATACCGCTAAAAGCGTTAATAAACATATTAAACAATTTAGATTTAGATCTTTAAGACGCTTGAACGACGTGAATCTCGTTTGAAGTTAAAATATCCTTAACGATTAATTGCAGCTAATTTACAACACGTTTCGAAGAACGAAACATTTAAAATGAGACTAAAAGTATAGCCAATAACCCCCAAACTGATAGATAAGATTTTTACATGCTGTATGTTTATAAAACCGGCCCGTGTGGACGGTCGCGCCCGCCGAAGGGTTAATGGCGCAGGACATTTAGCAGATTATGATATCCGGATATAAGCTTTGTATTATAATTTGTAAATGTATATGCATTTTAAAAACACGAAGAACGTATAATTGATGTACAGGTATACCGTTTAAAATGAAAAGATGTATTTGAAAAATTCCTGTACATGGCGAATAAAACATGTGCCAAAAGTTCACATAGGTATTATGAACTATAAAGAAAGTCATGTATGTATTTCGTTTTATGAAAGCTATTGTAAGTAAAAATGAATACCTTTCAAATACATAATTCAGTTAAAAAGAAAAACAAAAACGCAAGCAAAACAATATTATCTGTAAATGTAACCTAATTACTTTTGGTAAAGACATAATATTGTCATTATTATTATCTTATGTATTGCTATTGTGATG